CCTTTTAAAAACCCCTTTTTGGTTTTCCATGTGGGGGTTTTCTATAAAAACCCCAAAGGGGGTTTCTACCTGGAACCAAAAGGGTTCTACCGGAACCCAAAAATGACCTGAACCCAAAAGGGTTCTTGAAAGGGTTCTGCGGGGGGACCAAAAAGGAACCCTTTTGGGTTTTAGATAGCATTTTTCTACGAGTGTAGGGGGGGAGGGTGGGATAAAAAGGGAATGGTCTTTTATTGTGTAGGGAACAGGTCAAAGGCAAATGGAATTTGTCGTTCTGGGCAGATAGTCGGAAGTTTACATACACCTTAGCCAAATACATTTAAACTCAGTTTTTCCCCAATTCGAAATTTAACCCCAGAAAAATTCCCTGTTTAGGTATTGGATCACCACTTTTTTTAAAATGTGAAATGTGAAAATAGTAGAGAGAAAAATTTTTTTCAGCTTTTATTCTTTCATCAAATTCCCAGTTGGTCAAAGTTTACATAACTCAATTTGTATTGGTAACATTTTCCTTTTTAAAGTTTAATTGGGTAAAAGTTTTGGGTAGCCTTTCCCCAAACTTCCCCCAATAAATTGGGGGGATTTTGGGTTCCCCCTGACAGAGTGGTGTAACGAGTGGTTGTGGCCCCTTCTCGCACGCTTTTTTAGTTCTGCCACGATTTTCTAAGGATTGAGGTCAGGGTTTGTGATGGCCACCCAATACCTTGCTTTGTTGTCCTTTAAACCCTTTTCCACAACTTTTGGAAATATGCTTGGGGTCATTTTCCATTTGGGAAAACCCATTTACCAAATTTAATTTCCTGATTGGTCTTGAGATGTTGTTCAATATCCAATATTTTCCCTTTCCCCATGACCACTATTTTGAAAGTGCCCCCGTCCCTGCACAAAGCACCCCCCCACAGTATGCTGCCCCCCCGTGTTCACGGTTTTGGTGGTTTTTCTTGGGGTTTTAAGCCGCCCCCTTTTTTTCCAAAAAATAAAATGGCATTTTGGCCAAAAGTTTTTTTTGTTTCATCGACCAAGGGGCATTTTCCAAAAAATACGATCTTTGTCCCCAGTGCAGTTGCAAACGTAACTGGGTTTTTTATGCCCGGTTTTGGAGGGAAAGGGGGTTTTTCCTTGCCGAGGGCCTTTCAGGTTTTATGTCGATTAGGATCTTTTTCTTGGATATAGATACTTTTTATCTGTTTCCTCCCCAAACTTACAAGGTCCTTTTTTGTTTTTCTGGGGCTGATTTGCACTTTTCGCCCAAAGTACGTTTTCTAGGGGACGAAGCGTTCCCCCTGGGGTATCGGCTGGTGGCCATGGGTTTTACTTTCGTTTTTTGTTTGTACGATGAAGTGGGACCTCAGGGGGTTTTTGGAAATGCCCCCCAAGGTTAACCAGACTTTTGGATTTTAAAATTTTTTTTTGAGGCTTGGCTAAATTTTTGATTTTCCCATGTGTCAACCCAAAAAAGAGGCCCCCGATTTTTAAGGGGAAAAAGGCCTTGAAAACTCCAAAAGGCCCCCACCCAAATTGACTAAAATTTAGGAAATTTAAAGCCTATCAGAAGCTTCTAAAGCCAGACATTTTTTTCGGGAATTTTTCCCAAAAGTTTTTTTAAAGGCCCAGCCCAACTTATTATGTAAACTTCTGACCCCGGGAAATTGTGATCCCTTAAAATTATAATGAAAAAATTTCTGAAACAATTGTTGTAAAAATTATTTGTATCCCGAAATTTAGAGCCCCTAACCAAACTTCCCAAAAAAACCAAAGTTTGTTACAAAAAATTTGGGGGAGTTTTTTAAAAAAAAAAAGGGGGTTTTCAAATTACCCCAAAACCCAAGTAAATTTAGAATATTGAAGATCCCCTTGTGTTGTGGCCCCATTTTGGGGTTCTCCCGCGAATCCTTCCCTTTTGTACCCACTTCCTGGATTTGTTTTTATTAAATCCCAATGGTAAAGGGGGGAACCCGGGTAAAAGGGGCATAAGAGGGGCCATACCTTTACACCCCCCACACCCCCACACCCACACAAAAACAAAAACCCAAAAACACCCCCCACAAAAAAACCCCAAAAAAAAGCAACCCACACACCCCCACCCCCAAACACACAAAAACCCACAAAAAAACAAAAAAAAAAAAAAAAAAAAAGGGGGGAAAAATAAAAGTCATTAGGTAAAAAATTTTCAAAAACCAACTTTTTAAAACCAACTTCTAAAAAACAAAATATAAATAAAAACCCCAAGGAACCGAAAAGTGGGTTTTTCTGTTTTGATACTGGAGAACAGAGCAAAATATCCAAAAGGGGGTCCCAGCTCAGTAAAGCGGGGGAATGGGGGGGCGGGGGGTTTTCCTCTGGGCCCAAGGAGACCTTCCCCAGGGGGGGGAGGGGAGGAGGTGGAAGCCCGGGTAAAGGGGGTCACATTTGGGGGGTGAGAGTCCCCCCCCCCAAAACCCCCCCCCAAACCCCCACCCCCTTTTTAGAAAGGGGGGGCCAAAGGGCCGTGGGTTTAAAGCTTTAGGACCCAACCGCAACCCCAAAATTGGGAGACAGACGGGGACAGTCCCCCAAGAGACTTTATGAAGCCGGGGAAACACGCGGGGGGGAAACCCAAAATTTTGAACCCCAAACGGGACTTTTTTTCCTTGGGTTTTTAGTTTGATTTTTGTTCCTGGAAAATATGAGGGTTTGGGGGGGGAGGGAAAAAAATCCCGAGGGGAACTGGCTTTTGACTGTTCGGCCCAAAAAATGACGGGCAAATCTGGACCTGAATCCGGGGCCCCAAAAGGGCCCCGTCTCCCCTTCCCCCAACCCCCTTTAAGCACTCCTTTTTTTAAAGCAGGGCTGAAAACCCACCGTTTAAAAGCCCCGACCTCCTCCTCTTCCCTCCCCCCCTTTTTTTTTTTTCCTTCCCCTCCCTTTTTCCCCCCTTCTTCTCTCCCCCCCCGGGGTCTTCTCCCCCTCGCCCCTTTTCCCCTTTTAAATTCCTTTTCCCAATTTAAGGGTTTATTGGAGGGAACGTTTTTAAACTTGCCCACAGCAAGTAAACCCTAATAGTTAAAACAAAATTTAAATAAAAAAATAAATTTAACAAAAAATTTTTACACTCGAATTTCCCAAAAAAATTTAAAGCTTTTAAAAATGCCCAATTCTATATAACATTTTTTGTAACAATTGTGAAATTTTATTTTAAACCCCCCCCCCCCCAAAGGGGAAAAAATAAAAAAAATAGGGGTTGTTTTTACAATGGTTTTTTTTTTCCGGGTTTCCCCTTTTTTTTTGGGGCAACAAGGTCAAAATTTTGGGCTGGTGATGGCACACGGGGTATTTCCCCCCTAGATAGGGAGTTTACCCAAAATTGGTTTTGTTTTTTAAATTCCCTTTGTGGTTTTGTGTAATCTGGGGGAAAAGGGGGTTTTCCTCTAAGGGTTTTCATACTTTTTGGGAGGAGGTTAGGGGGGCCGCTCTTTTGGGGGCCACCATAATTTTTTTGGGCCGGTGTGGCCCCAAAACCTTCCCTTTCCTTTCTTGAAAAGTTTTCCCTTTTAATTTTGGGGGGTTCATAAACGGTGGTCGGGTTATTTTGCCACTGTGGTTTTCTTTTTGGGGCCAAAATAGCTTTTCTATTTTGCGGGGGGGTTTTTTTTTGTAAATTTTTCCCAAATGTGCAAGAACCCCTTTTTTTTTTCCCATAAATTTGGGTTTGGGTTTCAAATTTGGTGTTGTTTTCCCTGGGGTTTCTGGGGGGTTTGGGTTTGTTTTTGGGTAAAAAAAAATTCCCCGGGGACCAGCTTCTTAGGGCCCCTCTTCTCCCGGGTTTCTTTCTTCTTAGGTGTTTGCTTTTTTTAGGGAAAGGGTTGGGAACCCTTTCCCTTTTTAGGGGGTTTGTAGTTTTTTAAAAGCTCTTTTCTGGTTTTTGATCATTAGGGGGGTTTTCTGCCAATTCTGCTCGGGCACCCATTTTTTTGATTTTTTTGGAATTCTGCGGGCAGTCTAAATTTTGGTTTTTTTCCCAAAATTTGGGTGAATTTCTCTCTCCCCCTCTTCTCTCTCTCTCTCTTTCTCCTCCCCTCGCTCTTTTTTCCTTCTTCTCTCCCCTCTTTTTCCCTCCTACCCGCCATTTTTATTTCAAAATTTTCCCTCTCTCCCCCTCCCCTTTTCCCCCATCTCTCTCCCCCCAACCTCCCCCTCGTCCTTTTCCTTCGCTGTTCCTCCCTCTGCCATCCCCGTTATCTCTCTCCATCTTGGGGCCCTCTCCTCCTTCTCCTATCTCTTCCCCGCCCCCTCCCCGGGGCTTCTAAAATTTTTCCTCTCTCTTTTCCCCATGTATCAGTATCCCAAAGCCTTGTGAAAACCCAAAACCCTCCCCCCTCATTTCAAGGTTGCCCAGTTTAGCAAAGAAACTAGTTAGTCTCTCTTTTTGTCTCCTTGAACCACCCCCACAGCAACAAGTGGGGGGGAGAAAAGATTAAACCATAACAGATAAAAATTTTGGTGAGAAGGGGGGAAACCCTTACCCTGGGGGAGAGAAGGGGGAAGCCCCCCCCTGGGGAGAAAGGGGGAGGAGAGTGTGTTAGTATCAGTATACCAGGAAGTTGGGAAAGCCCTAACCCTCCCCACCTGAGGAAGGTGGGGCCCACCTGGAAAGAGAAACAGTGGTTAGCCTCCTCTGGTGAGGAACCCACCAGAGAAGGCCTAGTGGGGAGAGAAAGGAGGTACTTGCTGAAGAGAAAGGCCGGAGGAGAGAGGAAGCTACCCTGGGGGAGAGAAGGGGGAAACCCCTACCCTGGGGGAGAGAAGAGGGGAGAGTGTGTGTGAGAGCAAGGCAGGGGAAGAGAGGAGGGGAAGCCCTACCGGGGAGAAGGAAGAGGGGGGGGGAGAGTGTGTGAGAGAAAAGCCAGGGGAAGAGAGAGAGGGAAGCCCTACCCTGGGGGAGAGAAGAGGGAAGCCCTACCCTGGGGGAGAGAAGAGGGGAGAGTGGTGTGAGAGAAAGGCCAGGGGAAGAGAGAGAGGGTATGGGGGAGAAAGAGGAAGCCCTACCCTGGGGAGAGAGAGGGAAGCCCTACCCTGGGGGAGAGAAGAGGGAACCCCCGCCCTACCCTGGGGGAGAGGGAAGCCCTACCTGGGGGAGAGAAGAGGGGAGAGTGTGTGTGAGAGCAAGGCCAGGGGAAGAGAGAGAGGGAAGCCCTACCCTGGGGGAGAGAAGAGGGAAGCCCTACCCTGGGGGAGAGAAGAGGGAAGCCCTACCCTGGGGGAGAGAAGAGGGAGAGTCCCTGGGAGAGAAGGAAGCCGGGGGAGAGAGAGAGGGAAGCCCTACCCTGGGGGGGGAGAAGAGGGAAGCCCTACCCTGGGGGAGAGAAGAGGGAAGTACTGTGTGGAGAGAAGGGCAGGGGAGAGGAGAGGAAGTATGGGGAGAGGAGGAAGCCAGGGGAAAAGAGAGAGGGAAGCCCTACCCTGGGGGAGAGAAGAGGGGAGAGTGTGTGTGTGAGAGAAAGGCCAGGGGAAGAGAGAGACAGAAGACTGTAGGTATTATTAGGAGTGTGTGTTAATGTGTGCCTGTCGTTCATTCCATCATAGCAGTCAAGGCCTCAGTCAGCCGGTGAATAGAGACGGGCTCTGTGTGTCAGTCACTGAATAAACAGACAGCCTGTATAGTACACGATGCCAGAGAGGAGAGAGACACAAGGACATGGCTCTTACGTACAACTCTGCAGTTATGTCGTGTGTGTGTGTGTGTGTGTGTGTTTGTTTGTTTGTGTATTGATAGTCTCAATGTTTTTAGGAGCCGGAAGGGAAAGGAACAGACTCAGAGTTGTTCCCATCCCACCTCACAGCTCCTCTCTCTCCAACATTAGAACTCCCAGATGGTTCTGGTTCTAGAATTGGAACATTCCCCTTCTGAAAGAATCCAAGCACATCACAATGAGTGGTATAATACTAATGAGTGAAATCTGTCTATTCTAAGGACAAAATAATCCGTTATTTAGTTATTAGAGAAAAGTCGTTTTTTTTGAAATTTGGTTTTCACGTTTTTCAAAAAATACTTTTTATGCTGTTCGGGGGGTGGGTTTAGACGAGGGGGAGGTCGGGCGGGTGGTTAAACTGGTCTGCGGTGTGAGACGGTTGGAAAAATATGCCCCAAATTTGCTTTTTAAAAGGGCGTTGGGGGCGGTTATGGGGAGAGAGATAAAATTTAATTCTTGGAACAGTCGGGGACATTCCTGCAGTAGATGCCAAGTGCACGCCCCCAAAACTTTAGACGTCTGTGGAAAAACTGCACATTTTAAGTAGTTTTTGTTTTCCCCCGCACAAGGTGCACCTGGTATGACCTGGGTTTTAAACAGTTCTTTATATGACCCCCGTCAGGGGGATGGAATCTTTTACAAATGATAAAAATGCCTAACGGGATGCAAACAAATTTTTGCAAATTTGAGAGAAATAATTTTTTTTGGGATAGGAAAATTTCAGATTTTCCCAAACCCCTGTAATGCATTTTGTTAAAAAGCGCTTTTTAAAGGGCAAATGATTGTTTTGTGTAGAATGGGATCAGTTGGGAAAGCTTGATAGGGGCTTGCTGGTTCTTGGATAGCCCTAGCACCATAGGTCCCCCTCAAGGTAGCTAAAATTTGTGCGTATTCGAAACTTTTACTAACGGGTTCGCGGCTGAAATTTTGTTTCATGCACCTTTAAAGGAAAACAAGAAAAACCTCCTTAGTGTTCCCCATGTCCTCCGGGGGTGAAGGTATTGACTTTCCCTCCACGGGGGGGGGAAAAAGAAGCTGTTTCTGTTGAGTGTGTTTTTTTAGGGGTGTTTCTCCCCGGGACCAACGTGTCGACTCTGATTCTTCTCCAACTGGTGACTGTTCCTCAGACCCTCCTGTCCTCCCGGGTTCTACCGACCGTTACCGGAGCATACCAACCTGCAGCACGATGGCCGATATGGATAGTTGGTGCACGGCGGGGACCAGGTCTATTTGAAGTCGTCGGAAAAGAGGTCTGCTAAAGACGTAAATAAATTAAATGTAACCACGGGACTCCCTCTGCCTCACCTTCTGCTCAGCGTGACCTCCCCTCTGTTTTACTCTACTCCATGGAGTCTGCCCAGCGGAACTGCAGCCAGGCTTGACCGGCTTCCACGGGGGTGGACATGAGACTTCTCCCGTTTGCCCTGGGGTGGACATGCAGACTCCCCCGTGCCCGGGGGGGTAAAGACCGAGCTTTCACTGGGGGGGACATAAACCCTCCCCCCCTGCCCTGGGTGGTAAGACCGAGCTTTCACTGGGGGGGATGAGACCTCCCCGCCCCTGTGCCCATTGGTGGTAAAGGGACCGAGCTTTCACTGGGGTGGACATGCAGACTCTCCCGCTCCCCTGGTGGTCAAGCTTCATGGGTGGACATGCAAGACTCTCCCCCGCGGGGGCCACTGGGGTGGACATGCAGACTCTCCCCGCTGCCCCTGTGGTGGTGAGACCGAGTTCAACAGCAGCTGCCCGGGCTGCGACCACGACCACATCTCCCACCCCGGTCAGGATGCCTTCCCCCCCAGGCAGCTTGGAGCAGCTGTCCCCGCTGTCTGGTCTGTCTCTGGATCACCAGGTGGACGTAAAGGAGCTGCTGGACTCTCTGCTGCTGACTGACATTAAGACAGAGCGTGACATCAAACAGGAGCCGTGCCGTATATGGAAGACTGGGCTCAGAACTACCCTGTACCCATTAACGGGAGCTACGTCAACAACAGCTTCCTGGTCAAACCGGGTTCCAGATCGGGGCCTCAGGGCAGCAGCTGGGCGTGTGCAGCGACCAGACCGCCTTCACTGCCTCTCTCTCCTCCTCCTCCCTGGATGCCCTCCTCTCATCCCTGCTGCCCAACGCGTTCCCGAGGAGCAGGGGCGTGCACGCCACCATGGGAGCGAGCAAAGCGGCAGCCCGCTCCAGGACTAGGGCCGTGATGGTGAAACCATTCCATCACCGGCTGCGAGAGGCACATCCACACAGGCCTGCGCAGCTTCAGCAGGAGTGACCACCTGACCACACACACGCACACTGGGGAGAAACCTTTCTCGTGTGAGGTGTGCGGGGAGCTGTTGGCGTGCAGTGATGAGAGGAAGAGGCACGGGCGCGTGCACGTGAAGCAGCAGCTGAAAGCTGAGATGATGGCAGCCTATAACCTGCCCTTCCCTGGTGGAGTCTGAACTCTTCAGTTGTCCTACTGGCTTCAGTTGGCTTCAGTTGTCCTGCTGGCTTCAGTTGGCTTCAGTTGTCCTGCTGGCTTCAGTTGTCCTACTGGCTTCAGTTGGCTTCAGTTGTCCTGCTGGCTTCAGTTGTCCTGCTGGCTTCAGTTGTCCTACTGGCTTCAGTTGTCCTACTGGCTTCAGTTGTCCTACTGGCTTCATTTGTCCTACTGGCTTCCGTTGGCTTCAGTTGTCCTGCTGGCTTCAGTTGTCCTACTGGCTTCAGTTGGCTTCAGTTGTCCTGCTGGCTTCAGTTGTCCTACTGGCTTCAGTTGGCTTCAGTTGTCCTGCTGGCTTCAGTTGTCCTACTGGCTTCCGTTGGCTTCAGTTGTCCTGCTGGCTTCAGTTGTCCTACTGGCTTCAGTTGTCCTACTGGCTTCAGTTGGCTTCAGTTGTCCAACTGGCTTCAGTTGTCCTACTGGCTTCAGTTGGCTTCAGTTGTCCTACTGGCTTCAGTTGTCCTACTGGCTTCAGTTGTCCTACTGGCTTCAGTTGTCCTACTGGCTTCAGTTGGCTTCAGTTGTCCTACTGGCTTCAGTTGTCCTTCTGGCTTCAGTTGTCCTACTGGCTTCAGTTGGCTTCAGTTGTCCTACTGGCTTCAGTTGGCTTCAGTTGTCCTACTGGCTTCAGTTGTCCTTCTGGCTTCAGTTGTCCTACTGGCTTCAGTTGGCTTCAGTTGTCCTACTGGCTTCAGTTGTCCTACTGGCTTCAGTTGTCCTACTGGCGTCAGTTGGCTTCAGTTGTCCTACTGGGTTCAGTTGTCCTACTGGCTTCAGTTTTCCCACTGGCTTCAATTCTCCCACTGGCTTCAGTTGCTTCAGTTGTCCTACTGGCTTCAATTCTCCCACTTGCTTCAGTTTTGGGTTTAGTTTGTTTTCCCACTGGCTTTAGTGGTTCAGTTGTTTATACTGGCTTCAGTTGTCCCACTTTCTTCAGTTGTCCTAATGGATTCAGTTGTCCTACTGGCTTCAGTTGTCCTACTGGCTTCAGTTGGCTTCAGGTTGTCCAACTGGCTTCAGTTGTCCAACGGCTTCGTTGGCTTCAATTGTCTACTGGCTTCAGTGGGTTTTACTAGCTTCAGTTGTCTACTGGCTTCAGTTGACTTCAGTTGTCCCCTGCTTTATTGGCTTCAGTTTTCCTACTGGCTTCAGTTGTTACTTTCTTAGTTGTCCTAATGACTTTAGTTGCCTACTGGCTTTTAGTTGTCCCAAATGGCTTCAGTTGGCTTCAGTTGTCCTACTGGCTTCAGTTGTCCTACTGGCTTCAGTTGGCTTCAGTTGTCCTACTGGCTTCAGTTGTCCTACTGGCTTCAGTTGGCTTCAGTTGTCCTACTGGCTTCAGTTGTCCTACTGGCTTCAGTTGTCCTACTGGCTTCAATTCTCCCACTGGCTTCAGTTGGCTTCAGTTGTCCTACTGGCTTCAATTCTCCCACTGGCTTCAGTTGGCTTCAGTTGTCCTACTGGCTTCAGTTGGCTTCAGTTGTCATACTGGCTTCAGTTGTCCTACTTTCTTCAGTTGTCCTACTGGCTTCAGTTGTCCTACTGGCTTCAGTTGTCCTACTGGCTTCAGTTGGCTTCAGTTGTCCAACTGGCTTCAGTTGTCCAACTGGCTTCAGTTGGCTTCAATTGTCCTACTGGCTTCAGTTGTTCTACTAGCTTCAGTTGTCCTACTGGCTTCAGTTGACTTCAGTTGTCCTACTGGCTTCAGTTGGCTTCAGTTGTCCTACTGGCTTCAGTTGTCCTACTTTCTTCAGTTGTCCTACTGACTTCAGTTGTCCTACTGGCTTCAGTTGTCCTACTGGCTTCAGTTGGCTTCAGTTATCCTAGTGGCTTCAACAACATTATATAGTATCCCCTCCTCATGGTTACAGACCCAACAACATTATATAGTATCCTCTCCTCATGGTTACAGACCCAACAGCATTATCTAGTATCCCCTCCTCATGGTTACAGACCCAACAACATTATATAGTATCCCCTCCTCATGGTTACAGACCCAACAACATTATATAGTGTCCCCTCCTCATGGTTACAGACCCAACAACATTATATAGTATCCCCTCCTCATGGTTACAGACCCAACAGCATTATATAGTATCCCCTCCTCATGGTTACAGACCCAACAACATTATATAGTATCCCCTCCTCATGGTTACAGACCCAACAGCATTATATAGTATCCCGTCCTCATGGTTACAGACCCAACAGCATTATATAGTATCCCCTCCTCATGGTTACAGACCCAACAGCATTATATAGTATCCCCTCCTCATGGTTACAGACCCAACAGCATTATATAGTATCCCCTCCTCATGGTTACAGACCCAACAGCATTATATAGTATCCCCTCCTCATGGTTACAGACCCAACAGCATTATATAGTATCCCATCCTCATGGTTATAGACCCAACAGCATTATATAGTATCCCCTCCTCATGGTTACAGACCCAACAGCATTATATAGTATCCCCTCCTCATGGTTACAGACCCAACAACATTATATAGTATCCCCTCATGGTTACAGACCCAACAACATTATATAGTATCCCCTCCTCATGGTTACAGACCCAACAACATTATCTAGTATCCCCTCCTCATGGTTACAGACCCAACAACATTATCTAGTATCCCCTCCTCATGGTTACAGACCCAACAACATTATCTAGTATCCCCTCCTCATGGTTACAGACCCAACAACATTATATAGTATCCCCTCCTCATGGTTACAGACCCAACAACATTATATAGTATCCCGTCCTCATGGTTACAGACCCAACAACATTATATAGTATCCCCTCCTCATGGTTACAGACCCAACAGCATTATATAGTATCCCCTCCTCATGGTTACAGACCCAACAGCATTATATAGTATCCCCTCCTCATGGTTACAGACCCAACAACATTATATAGTATCCCCTCCTCATGGTTACAAGACCCAACAACATTATATAGTATCCCCTCCTCATGGTTACAGACCCAACAGCATTATATAGTATCCCCTCCTCATGGTTACAGACCCAACAACATTATATAGTATCCCCTCCTCATGGTTACAGACACAACAACATTATATAGTATCCCCTCCTCATGGTTACAGACCCAACAACATTATATAGTATCCCCTCCTCATGGTTACAGACCCAACAACATTATATAGTATCCCGTCCTCATGGTTACAGACCCAACAGCATTATATAGTATCCCCCTCCTCATGGTTACAGACCCAACAGCATTATATAGTATCCCCTCCTCATGGTTACAGACCCAACAACATTATATAGTATCCCCTCATGGTTACAGACCCAACAACATTATATAGTATCCCCTCCTCATGGTTACAGACCCAACAACATTATCTAGTATCCCCTCCTCATGGTTACAGACCCAACAACATTATCTAGTATCCCCTCCTCATGGTTACAGACCCAACAGCATTATATAGTATCCCCTCCTCATGGTTACAGACCCAACAGCATTATATAGTATCCCCTCCTCATGGTTACAGACCCAACAACATTATATAGTATCCCCTCCTCATGGTTACAGACCCAACAGCATTATATAGTATCCCCTCCTCATGGTTACAGACCCAACAACATTATATAGTATCCCCTCCTCATGGTTACAGACCCAACAACATTATATAGTATCCCCTCCTCATGGTTACAGACCCAACAACATTATATAGTATCCCCTCCTCATGGTTACAGACCCAACAGCATTATATAGTATCCCATCCTCATGGTTACACACCCAACAACATTATATAGTATCCCCTCCTCATGGGTTACAGACCCAACAACATTATATAGTATCCCCTCCTCATGGTTACAGACCCAACAACATTATATAGTATCCCCTCCTCATGGTTACAGACCCAACAGCATTATATAGTATCCCCTCCTCATGGTTACAGACCCAACAACATTATATAGTATCCCCTCCTCATGGTTACAGACCCAACAACATTATATAGTATCCCCCTCCTCATGGTTACAGACCCAACAACATTATATAGTATCCCCTCCTCATGGTTACAGACCCAACAGCATTATATAGTATCCCCTCCTCATGGTTACAGACCCAACAACATTATATAGTATCCCCTCCTCATGGTTACAGACCCAACAACATTATATAGTATCCCCCTCCTCATGGTTACAGACACAACAACATTATATAGTATCCCCTCCTCATGGTTACAGACCCAACAGCATTATCTAGTATCCCCTCCTCATGGTTACAGACACAACAACATTATATAGTATCCCCTCCTCATGGTTACAGACCCAACAACATTATATAGTATCCCCTCCTGGTGGTTACAGACCCAACAACATTATATAGTATCCCCTCCTCATGGTTACAGACCCAACAACATTATATAGTATCCCCTCCTCATGGTTACAGACCCAACAACATTATATAGTATCCCCCTCATGGTTACAGACCCAACAACATTATATAGTATCCCCCTCCTCATGGTTACAGACCCAACAGCATTATATAGTATCCCCCTCCTCATGGTTACAGACACAACAACATTATATAGTATCCCCTCCTCATGGTTACAGACCCAACAACATTATATAGTATCCCCTCCTCATGGTTACAGACCCAACAGCATTATATAGTATCCCCTCCTCATGGTTACAGACCCAACAACATTATATAGTATCCCGTCCTCATGGTTACAGACCCCAACAACATTATATAGTATCCCCTCCTCATGGTTACAGACCCAACAACATTATCTAGTATCCCCTCCTCATGGTTACAGACCCAACAGCATTATATAGTATCCCCTCCTCATGGTTACAGACCCAACAACATTATATAGTATCCCCTCCTCATGGTTACAGACCCAACAACATTATATAGTATCCCCTCCTCATGGTTACAGACCCAACAGCATTATATAGTATCCCCTCCTCATGGTTACAGACCCAACAACATTATA